CATGGTAACATCTATAAGGTTTGTCTGAATCCTTGGGGAGCAATTTCCAGACATTTTTCTTTATCGCTAGAATGTTCATTCATGCATTCTTAAATCGAGGATGCGCTCCTGCGTTAGTGAGGCACAAGTCATGAGTAACCCACAGTGTTACTCAAGTCTGCCCTTTATGTTTCTGTTCCTTCGGTTTCGAATCTATTTTTCTTTCTTTCTTTTTTTTAAAACAATATTTATTTTTCGAGACAGGGTTTCTCTGTAGCCTGGAACTAGCTCTTGTAGACCAGACTGGCCTCAAACTCAGAACTCACAGAGATCCTCCTGCCTCTGCCTCCCCAGTGCTGGGATCAAAGGCGTGCACCACCACCACCTGGCTGAATCTATTTTTCATAGACACAGTCTCTCTCTGGTAGCTAGAACTCCTTGGTCTATATCTTCCTCCTCATCCCCAACGCCAGGATTATAGGCATGTCCTGCTGTGCCCAGCTCCCTATAGGTCTTTAACTTTTTTTTTAAATAGGACATATGAAAGTTAAATTTTCTGCAGACTAGCCTTACCTGGTGGTGCACTCCTTTAATCCCAGCACTTGGGAGGCAGGCAGAGCAGAGGTAGATGATCTCTGAGTTTGAGGTCATCTGGTTTATAAATTGGGTTTCTGAATAGCCAGGGCTACACAGAAAGCCTGGTTGGGGGCAGGGATATGTAGAGATGGGATGGGATAGGGGATTGTTTTTGTAGACTGTCAGCTGAGAGTCTCATATTTACAGTGATGGATTAACATCTAGATCATAAGACAAAGCTGCAAATTTGGGTGCATTATTACAGTTAAGTTAGGTCTCAAACTTGGGGCGAATGGCTGAGGTGTCTATTAACATATCAAAACTGATTAATCAGCAATCACCTGTGTCCCCTGGTAAATGGCTGAATTAATAATAATTTAAAAAAAAGAGCTGGGAGGTGGTGGTGCACGCTTTTAATTCCAACACTTGGAAGGCAGAGGCAGGCGGATCTCTGAGTTGGAGGCCAGCCTGGTCTACACACACAGTGCATTCCAAGACAGCCAGAGCTATACAAAAAAAGTCTTGTGTCAAAAAAAAAAAATACAAAACAACAAAACAAAAATGTTTAGGGCTGGAGAGATGTCTTAGCTGTTAAGAGCACTGACTACTCTTTCAGTGGGCCCTGGTTCAAGTCCCAGCACCTACAATTGTCTGTAATTCCAGTTCCAGGAGATCTGATACCATCACACACACACATACATGAAGGCAACACAAATGCACATAAAATAAATCTTTTTTTTTTTTAAAAGGGTATGCAAGTTTTGAAGGTCTAAGAAACGTGCTCTAAGGTATATAAATACAAGAGGCAAAAGTCTGAGGATATGAAACCTTAAATTGTGAGGGTCTAAAAAAGTGTTTTAAGATGCATAATACAAGTCATAAAGGTCTACGAAAGTGATTTAAGGTATATAAAAATGAGTGTCAGGCAGATCTCCAAGTTCAAGGACAGGCAAGGTTACACAGAGAAACCCTTTCTTGAAAAACAAAACAACAACAAAAAAAACCCCTAAGACTGCAGAGTTTTAACATTAATCAACTTAGTTCTGATAAAATATTAATCCCTGGTAAAGAATTGCCACTATTATAGTCACAAGCTCAAAACTGTAAATCTCCTTTGGTTGTCTTCTAAATATAGACTTTAAAATGCTTCTCTCTGTGCTGAAAACACCTCTAAACTTAAAAAAATTCATGCCAGGTGGTGGTGGCTCAAGCCCTTAACCCCTGAACGCCAGAGTTCGAGGCCAGCCTGATCTCCAAAGGGAGTTCCAGGACAGCCAAGGCTATTGCAGAAAATATTACACAGGGAAAAACAAAAACAAATTCATGTAAGCTTCAGGGAGTCAAACGTTTATCACGGGTCAAACGAACTCCAGATAAATATCCCTGTCAATCAACAGGCCGGTTTCCCACCTGCCTGAGGGTGGGGGTCTCTCCCCCCCTTTCCTGGTTCTTGAGATTTCCCTCCCCTAACCAGGGCCATGGGCGGGAAAGTTTCAAGTGTACACCCAAGATAAAAATGTCCCCAAACTCCCTAACTTTACCTTCTCCTCCTAGTCTCTGTCCCGGCAGGTTTCAAGTCAACATCAACAACGTGCCGGCCCCAGGGGTCCCTTCGGAATCTGCATCCTAGACAGACCCCAAAGCAGCTCTAGCCCTAGGTGATCCAGCCAGTCAGCTCCAGGTGACCTGCAGAACCTGGGCAGAAACAGTGGGGGAACATTCTGCACCCCTCTTTCTCTTTCCGGCCTCGGTCGGAATTTCAGCTTTCCAGGGTCCCTGACAACGCCCGGATTTCAGCCACAACGACACAAAGGTTGGGATGTTATGTCTCAAATCCCAGCTGAATGGCTAACTGAGACGATATTAACATATCCAAGACCACGTAGGAAGGATGCAGGCAGGTCCTCCCGGCTGGCATCCCCCGTCCTCTACCCAGGGACTGGCGGTACTGCCCTTTTCTTAGAAGCTCTTCTCCATATAATCCAGTCATTTTGGCTACGTCTATCCTTTTTTTTTTTTTTTTTGTCCCCTTTGGCATCTTCGTCGCTGCTCCAAATTTCCCTCTCTCCACGCTCCTCACGTGGCCTGGCTCAGAGTCTTGGACCTCTCCAGACGCCTCCCGCTATGCTCTCCCTCATAGCTGCAGAAAACAAAACAACACAACCCTTGTCCTTTCCCCACACCTAGCAGCAAAAATGTCTTCCTTTTAATTCAAATTAGTAAATATTTGTTGAGTGCAGCGTACGTACCAGGCTGTTAGAAGGCCTGAGAATTTATTCAAGAACAAAACCCCTGTTAAGGTAAATCAGTTGGACAAGTTAACCTAAGTTGTTATTTTAATGATAGAAACAGAGAATCCAGCTTTCATAAGCGGGGAATGGAAGGTCTCTGCAAAGAGGGGCAGCTATGAGATTCGTGCCTCTAGTTTTCCTACTGCCGCTTCTCCTAGTGAAAGCGCTGACTTTAAGTCTTCAGTTCGTCGAAACTCGTTCTGCAAACGACGAATCCAAACTCCACAGTAGTGTCTTCAGGTGCGGCTGTAATCACTTTCTCTGCACCATGCTCACCTGACGTCGGGCCTCCCAGCCTGGTGTGCTGAGCGGTCCGTCCTGCCGAGGCCCGCGCCTCTGCCAGGTGTTGCCTCTCTCGACAGAGCTGAGCAAGAGAGAAATTCATTCTCGAGAGCCCCGGGGCGACGCGGCTCGGGGAACCGGCTACTCCAGGTAGCCTCGCCCACTGCAAAGCAATCTGGGTGGTTTTTCCAGATCCCCCGCCCAGTCCCAGCCCCCGCGACTCCTAAGGAGGAGGTTGGCTCCAGGGACTCCGGGGCTAGGGCGGGGCTGCGAGGCGTCCTAGAAGCACCGGAGAGGCAGCCCAGGACCCAGGTGGTACCAGCGCCCTCTCGGGGGCGGAGAGCGAGCCAGGCCTCCACCCGCTCTCCCGGACGCCGCTGCCACCTGCTCCGCCTGCCATCCGCCTCCCGCCGCACCCCATCTTACCGGGAAACGCGCATCGCCGGCCTCCGACTCCCCTCCCTTACTCCCCAGAGTCTAGGCTTCCACTAACAAACATCCCTGGGAGAGTACCGACGGGTTCCAGGGGTTGCAAGGGTGTGGCGGCCGCGTTTCACACCAAGAATACTCGGGGCCGCATACCTGCCACTAAACTAGTAATATTTCCCAAGATTAGACCGGGTTGAAAGAGAAAACTCGAGGGAACTACACCTCTAGCGCTTTTCTAAAAAGTCAACATGACCTTCCTGGCCCCTTGGTGGCTCGTGTCTGGGGCTGGGGGTGGAGTTGGCGGTGGCGCAAGAGTCTGAGGGCGCACGCTGAGCTGGAGACCTTAGTCAAGTCACACTCCCAGAGCAAATTCAAGAGACGGGTGGAGGGCGTGAGGACAGGGCAAGAAATTTAACAAAAAGCTTGTTTGGCCGGATTCACGGAGGTCTTTTTGAGGCCGGCAGGCAGGTACATTTTATTTTATATCCAAAGCAAATCACAGTTAAAAGTGCTCCGATCCTGGAGGGCGTTCCGGCCTCAAAATAGCAGCCGACATAACAAAGTGTACGATAGAGAATGGGCTGCAGGGTCCTTCTTCCCGGGGTCCCCTAGCTGCTGTGAGCACTGTGGTTGCGCCCCGGGACCTGCCTAGTTAGCCGGGCGTCGCGTTCGGCGGCTGGGATTTTGGGGGTGGCTCGTCGCCCCGAGGTGGAGAGCGAACGCCAGCTCCTCTCCGGGTCGACGGGCAGGGCCCGCAGGACTTGACCCTCGCGCTGTTTGCACTTCGAGGAGTGCTGGGCTCAGGGGCGGCTGTCCCCGAGTTCCGCAATTGCCCGCACCACCTACCCGGGCGGCCGTGGGCCGGTCCCTCCCAGGCGCCGCGCCCAGGGCCTCACCTCTGGCCTCCTTTGGCCTCCCGGCGCCTTGGCCTTTCGCGCGACCCTTCAGCTCCTAACCCCACCGCCCAGGCTTCCCTCCAGTTCCCTCGCCTCTTCGTCCCCTAGAGCGGGGACCCTTTCCCCGCCGTCGCGGGCCCTAGGCCCCCTACCCCTTTCCCGGTCTGGCCTTGGCTACCCCGAGGGTGACAACCCGCTCTTCCCCGCCCCCACCCCACCTCCTCTCCAGCCCCGGCTTCCCCATTCATCCAGCCTTTGTCTCCCGCCCCCTCCTCGCCCTCCCCCTCTAACCCCCCCCCCACCGCTGCCACGTCGTGGTTTGAAGGAGCCAATGGGCGGGCGCCGCCAGGTGTCTCTTACCTGCACCACGTGGGGGAGGGGGAAAGGGGCGGGCAGGTAGAACCACATCCCAACACAGAAAGGCTTTCAGCCATTGCTCGCGCCTCCCGGGGGTGCAGCTGGGCTCCTCGGCTTTTTTTCATAGACGCACCAGCAATTGGATACAGAAAGGGCAGGCCTGCTGCTCCCTCCTTCCACCCCCCCTTCCTGCCCTGGGTGTGGAGCGCCGGCCAGGTGTGGGCTTGGGTGGTTGGTTACCGCCTTTTGCCCTGGCGGCCGCGAGGAGGGGGGTGGGCGCTTTCTTTTTCTCTTGGAAGAGGCTTTTAGCACAGGTTTTCTCGTTCTCACTTCCAACCCCACCTCGCCACCTCCCGAACCCCCTCCTCCCCCTCCCCACCTATCGTCATGACGGCGTCTCCGGATTACTTGGTGGTGCTTTTTGGGATCACTGCTGGGGCCACCGGAGCCAAGCTGGGTTCAGATGAGAAGGAACTGATCCTGCTGTTATGGAAAGTCGTGGATTTGGCCAACAAGAAGGTACTGCACAACGTTCTGGTCCGAACAAGGCTTGGGGCAAGAACTTTATCGTAGAAGTTAGAGAGGAGATAGAGGGCTTTTTTCTTTCTTTTTGTTTGTTTGCGCGCATGTGAAGCGGGGCCCCGAGGCCTAGAGAATCCATGGTAAAGCAAACCTTTTGACTAAACCACCTTGGGGCCCTTTCAGTCTTCCGAAACCTGGCCCAGGTAGAGAGGCCCGCACTGCCGAGCCACGTTCTCTGCGGGTCGTGGGACGCCTGGGCCAGGCTGTGGTTCTTGGGGCGCTGGGGTCCCTTATAGGGCCTCGGCGACTTGATCCGGGTAGGGTGGGGGTGGGGCGGGGGAGCCGAGACCAGATCCCTGGCCGTCTAGGGAGCCTTGATTCTGCTGCTGGGTACCTGGAAAGCCTCGAGCCGCCCGGGGGAAGGCGGGGAGGAGGAAGAATTTCCAAATTGAAAAGAGGGAACTGACCCCTTCTTCTCCACCCTTCACCCCCCAAGGTGGGACAGTTGCACGAAGTACTAGTTAGACCGGACCAGTTGGACCTGACTGAGGATTGTAAAGAAGAAACTAAAATTGACGCCGAAAGCCTGTCTTCCGCGCCGCAGCTGGACCAAGCCCTCCGACAGGTGACAGTTTGGGCCGGGCCGCGCCGCGCCGTCCACCCCCATTTCCGCGGCCCCCAGACCCGACCCAGCCCTGTGACTCCACGCCCTCGTGGAGCGGTCTCCGCTTGTTTCTGGGGCGGGGTGGCGAGACTCCCAGCCTTGTGTGTGGGCGTCCGGCCGGAGGGCGGGGAGGGGCTCTGGAGGGGGGCTGCTGTGCTTGTTCCTGGCCCCCCGGGTCTTGGGATAGAAAGGGATAGAAATTCGCAGGACTCCTGCGTAGTTCTTTGGGCGGGAGTATAAGTCGCGTTTTCCCCCAGCGAAGTTTGAATCCTATCTCCCGCAAGCCCAAGCGCAGTCCCTAGTGGGTCTGGGTCTGCAGCCCAGTCACGTAGAGGAGCAGGCTATCCGTGCACCCGTCATCCCGAGCTACTTCTAGCTCCTGAGCGCCCGCCTGATTTCAGCCTCACGTCTCAATTTCCAAAGGCTCGGCTTCCTCATTGCTTCTTTACTGCCTTGATTGGGATCCCAGGGAGGGGTTGCAAGTACGGACCTGTGGGCCTGCCTGTTGGGTCACCGTGGAGCTGGCGGGATCCCCTGTAGGAATTGAGGTGACCTAAAAACTGGCTGCTGTGCATGCTGACGGTTGCTAGAAACCTGGATAGGGCGGGTCTCAACACCTGTGCAGCGCTGTGTTCTGCGCTCTCCCAGCCTGCCTCTGCCGGAGCGCAGGAGTCTCCTATTAAAGGAGGAAGTTATTTCTACAGTATTTTCTAAGAAAGTGTTACCCGCCTTACAGCGTTCTGCTTATTCAGTACCCCCCGCACGCGTATCGGAAGTGGGTGATTTAAAGCTGGAACATCCCAACATTTAAAAGGCAGCCCCGTGGAATGATGTAATCTGGAGGCAAACTGTGAAAAGAGACCTCCGATAGGTTCATCCTGAATATAAGGGTTGCTGGTTAGTGAAACCCACTTCTCCCCAGCGGAAAAGCGGCAGATTGGTTGGTAAAGCATCCTTGCCTAGGACAAAGTGACAGGTTGGGGGTGGGGGTTGCGATGTTGCCCGCACCAGGCCCCAGAGTCCTCAGGACGATTTTTCTCTGATTATCTTCAAGTTGGGCCCCTTTGACATGTTTGTAAATTTTGCTTTCGTTGCCTCCCTCCCGTGTTCTTGGTTCTTGCAGTTTAACCAGTCAGTGAGCAATGAGCTGAACATTGGGGTAGGCACTTCCTTCTGTTTGTGTACTGACGGGCAGCTTCATGTCAGGCAGATCCTGCATCCCGAGGCTTCCAAGAAGGTAAGAGTGCTGGCTTCTGGAGAAGTGGATGTTCTCAGCGGGGGTGACTTGGGGAATCTGAAAACAAACGAACAAACCAGATGGTTTATTCAAATATGTTTATTCCGGCTTCTGGAAAAACAGCTGTACTTTGGGGGTTGTCTGGAGGCTTTTTAAAACGTCATCCAGATTATTCTACTTTTAAAGAAGGGCAGACGGGGACTTCTGTCTAATGGTGCAGCTTTACGTTTTGGAGATGTAAACAAGTTTTGAATCAAAAGGATGGTGGTGAAAGTCTCAAAGTGGCCTGAACTTGACGCTGCTGTACTTGCAAGCAGGCGATAAAACTGTAGTGAACAAGGGGTAACACGGTAGATTTAACATTATGTATATTTTATCACAATTGAAAAACTCATGTAATTTTCATGGAGGTGTCTGGGATTGTAGTAATTTTATAGGTATCCATCAGTGATTAAAACATCATCTTTGTTATGTATTCAGCTTAACACTGCATTTTCCAAAGCTAATATATAAGGTTTGAATTTTTGTCACTTACAGTAAAAAAGACTGTATTTTACTGCCTTGAGGTAATTTTCTTGTGTGAAATGCTTTATCCATGAAAGAGAATCAAAAACCTTCTAAATACTTTTATTTAGGGCTGTTTAAATAACGATTACCAACATAAACAATATTTTAGAACACTCCCACACTCCCTTTGATTTGAAGTGTTGAAAACCAAATTTTAAAGGTTTTGTTTGTTTTTATAAATGGGTGGATTTTTTTTTTTTTTTTGAGACAGTCTGGCTCTGGAGTCCAGGATAGCCTCAAAGTCCAGGCACTCCTGCCTCATCTGTGTGCTGGGATGTGAGTTCAAAACCAGCCTGAGGTCATGGACAGTAGGTTCTGAACGAAAAGCAGAAGCCCAGAATTGCTTCAGTTAAGCAGTGTTCGTCCGGCATCCTGGGTTCATCCCCCAGCCTGCGTGAAGCTAGGTGTGGAGGCGCATTCAAGGCGGGTGGCAGGGGATGAGAACTTCTAGTTCCAGGCTTAGCCAGGCATGGTGCACACACCCTTAGTCCCAGAACTCAGGTGGCAGAGGCAGGTGAATCTCTGAGTCTGAGGCCAGTCTGGTTGTGAAAGAAAGAAAAGAAAGGGAAAAACAGGGTCAAGGTTTGCCCAGCCTTGAGTTTGAGGTCAGCCTGGGTTACACTGGGAGACTCTTACACAAACAAACATTGACAAAAGACCTTAGCCAGCGCTGTAGTATTTGTTTATCTGCACAGTGATCCTTACTACCCCTAAGAGTGGAATTCAGAGCTTTCTCCTCTCTTTGGCATAAAGAGCCCTTTCCTTTTTGGTCCTTTGCTAGGAATTGAACCTTGAAAGCATTGCACATGCTCGGCAGCCCCCCTGGCTCTTTTGAGACAGTTTTAGTATATAACTCAGGCTGGCATGGTCTCTCAATTCTCCAGCCTCACCCCCTCCCCCCGGAATTATGTGCACTCTCTACCCTGTCTAGTTGTGTCTTTTTGTTCACATGTGCATTTGTGTGTGCGTGTGAGTGAGTGTGAGCGTGCACGCACACGCGGTGCTAGTATACCACATTTCTCACACTGAGGTCAGGGATAGATACCTTGGAGTCCATTCTCTCCCTCCACTGTGATGTAGGTCTCAGGGATCAAGATCAAGCCATTGGGTTAAAGCATTTTTCTCTCTGAGCCACCTGAGCAGCCTGTAGTTTGTTTGCTTGTTTAAGGTTTTTTTTTTTTTGTATGTTTTGGTGTTTTGCCTGCACGGATCACGTGTGCCGTGTGCATGCATGCCTGTGGAGGTCAGAGGAAAGTGTCAGATCCCCGGGCCTGAAGTGACAAGTGATTGTGAGTCACCGTGTGAGTGCTGGGAATTGAACAGGTGTTTAATTCCCATCAGCCCTGGTGATGCATAGTTTAAAATCCAATTCAAATTCTCAGGTAAAGCCAGAACAATGGGCAAAAACGGATATGGAACTATAATTTGGGTCAAAAGTAATCTTTTGTAAAGTATAGGGACTTCACTATTCCTAGCTTATATAATAATAAATACGCATATTACTGGGACTTAACAGATCTTACCAGTTAATTGTAGAATAAATTTATCTGTGTAAAAACTGATACCTAAAACCACAGACGGTCTAAAATGATAACAGCTGGAAAAAGAGTATTACAACCTGAAAAACAACAACCCCATGTTGCACATATATAATAGCTTCAGAAAGGGTTTGATCGGGGTGAGGAGTGGCTCAGCACTTAGCAGAGGATCTGTTCAGTTCCCTGCCCTCACATCTGGGCTCCTGTCCCAGAGGTTCTGACAACCTCTTCTGGCTTCATGAGAACCCACACACATCTGGTGTGCATGCAGGCAACTCTGCACAGATACACAAGACTAAATTAAAATAAAAAAAAGGCTTGCCGGGTGTTGGTGGCGCACGCCTTTAATCCCAGCACTCGGGAGGCGGAGGCCAGCCTGGTCTACAAGAGCTAGTGCCAGGACAGGCTCCAAAGCTACAGAGAAACCCTGTCTCGAAAAAAAACTAAAAAAAAAAAAAAATGCCGAGTGGTGCACACCTTTAATCCCAGCACTCGGGAGACAGGCTGGAGAACCTCTGTGGATTCGAGGCCAGCCTGGTCTACAGAGCGAGTTCCAAGACAGGCAAGGCTACACAGAGGAAACCCAGTCTCCAAAACAAAACAAGCAGAAAACAAAAATGGTTTGATTAGAAGACACAGTGAAACAAAAACATTGTTATCCGTTTCATTACAATGAGATGACTTTATGAAATTGCTGAGGGATCTAATGTATCGTGACCAAGCATTAAAAAATAGAGCCATTCCACATTGAATTTTATATTTCTAAAAATTGTGGTAAATTTTGCAATATCGCATTCATAGGTTCCTAGTTATTAGAGAAATATGGACCAGATTCACCTCGGTAACAGCATCTGCCTTCTCCTCCCTCAGAATGTATTACTACCTGAATGCTTCTATTCCTTTTTTGATCTTCGAAAAGAATTCAAGAAATGTTGCCCTGGCTCACCTGATATCGACAAGCTGGACGTAGCAGCGATGGCCGAGAGTATCCTTTAAAGTTATTTAAGAAGGCTTTGTACCCCATCCCGTGCTTTTTTTTTTTCTTTTTGTTGTTGTTGTTTTCATTTTTTTTTTTAATTTAAGTTTTGGAATTAAGAGTGGTGTTATGGCCTGGAGGGAGGTTGCCTTCAGACTTGTAGGTGTCCTCCCTGAGAGCCCCCGAGTGCTGGCATTAAAGGCATTAACCACTGTACCTGGTCAGGGAAATGCTTTAAACTTTGTCAGTGTGCGTTCCTGTTGAAACTGTTGATGTGTACTGTACCAGGAGGAAGTAACGGTGTAAATGATAGGTGTCTTTCAGAGTAGTCATGACGGAACTGGAGCTGATACGTGGTTTAGAGGTTTATGTGAGGTGGCTGCATTTCTGGTAATAATTATGTGAATGTATCTTATATAAGAGTGTGTATATGTGTGTGTGTGTGAGAGAGAGAGAGAATGACACACACATAGACAGCTGATGGATTAGAAAAAATCGGAAGAATTTACACTGTCTACAGATCCCAAAGCCATTTGCACTTGGTTACTTTGGTCTTGGGGTCCATTTGGCTTCCTTGTAGTAGATAAGATTTTGCTTTGAAGTGCTAAGTGCCCTTTAGACTAGACCTGTTTAAAAAATATATACCAGCCAGGTCTTGTGATCATAATAAGATACTTGGGGGCATGATAAAACAGGGACTAAGACAAGAAGTCATGGAGCACACCTTTAATCCCAGCACCGGGAGGCAGAGGCAGGTGTACACACACCTGTGAGTTTGAAGCCAGCTAGAGATAAGTGGTAAGACCGTCTCAGAAAATAGAGAGAGGGAAGCAGAGTGTCCCCAAAGTATTTACTTACAGAGACAGTGTTTTCCTTCCTCCCTTCTTTCCTCCCTCCTTCCCTCCCTCCCTCCCTTCCTCTCTTCCTTTCTTTATTTCTTTTTAAGACAGGATCTCACTGTCCTACAGTTCACTAGGAAGACCAGAGATCCTTCTCTCTCCCAAGTGCTAAGATAAAGGTGTATGCCACCTGGGTGTGAAAATAGTATATTGGACACTTCATATATTGTTAAATTAAGTTTCAATGCTTAGAAATCTTAGATCACAAGGGTCCCAGTGTCTTTTATTTATAGAATCTCTTTAATGTGCTGATAAGTAGTTGTATATTGATGTGGCAGAAGGGGAGCTGAGAATTGGGCTGTGTTGGTCCTTGGGGTGCTGAGAGATGCTTCTGCAGTTAAGAGCTCTTGAGTGCTGGCCATCCACATTGCATTTTGCTAATCACTGCACTATTTGATACAAACAGAATATTTCTATAAAAATAAAAGTAACTAGAAAAAAAAAGCAAGGCCTGGGTATAACTCACTGATAGAGTACATAGAGGCCCTGCTCCCCCCCCTCCCCCAATCAAACCTTTACCTTGTAGTGTTCTCATTGGTAGAATGGTCCGCTGCTGTATGCAGGAAGTCCTCTGGCTTGGTAACATGTCTATTGCTGTGTACATAAGGTTCTCTGGGTAGGCATTTTTTATGTTTCTCAGAGAGTTGACAATTCAGAGAAATCTTGATAAAACAAAATCCACCATTTTTCTTCTAGCAGTCTTGGTGGATGTAAGGTTGAGGCTTTGGGGCGTTTGGGGAATGTTTTTGGGTTGCTTCCTTGCTGTGGGCTATACTTCTCAGGGTATTTAGTAGCTGACCTTTGGGGGAGGGGTCAGCATGATGTACCAGTGGTTTGGTCTACTGCTTCAGCTGACCCTGGGTCTGTAAGTTGTGACTAAGTCGAGCTGAACTTCCTCCTTCCATGCCTTGTTTTTGACATTGGAAGTAGCATTAAAAACAAAGACAGGGTTTTCTGTTTCTTTAAATGTATCTGTTATAAGGGCTAGAGGTCTAGCTAAGGCGGTAGAGTGCCTACTGCAGGTGGAGCTCTGGGCTGGATACACTGTAATCCCAGTACTTGGCAGGGAGAGGCAGGAGGCTCAGTGGTTCAAGGTTCTCCTCCATGATGTAGCACATTCCGGTCAGCCTGGGCCCTGCCTCTAAAAAAAGAAAAAAATGGATTCGATCCCTAACTGTTTTTGATTAATGTTTGTATCTTTTTCCCCTTTAACATTTATAAACGCTATTAACCTTTCTTAGCAATCGTTTTTATGTTTCATTCCTGCTGGGATGAATTAATCTAACTTTCTATTCAGAGAAATAGATAATTTCCGAGCCTAGAGCTGCCAAACCAACTGCAGAGGTCAGAGGAGGCTGAAGCTGCAGACCATCTGCCTGAGCATGTCTGAACTGAAGAACTGTGTTTTCTGAAACCACTAAACATTTCCCTTGTTAATATGGAAAGGGTCCCGAGACTTCAAGTATGGAGGTAGTCATTACGCGTATTGGATGATAGAGTCTTGGCTCTTGTTAGCTCGTGTGTCCCACTAGTAACCAGTGTGTGCGGGTTGACCCACTAGTAACCAGAGTGTGTGGGTTGACCCACTAGTAACCAGAGTGTGCGGGTTGACCCACTAGTAACCAGAGTGTGCGGGTTGTCACACTAGTAACCAGAGTGTGCAGGCTATCACACTAGTAACCAGAGTGTGTGGGTTGCCACACTAGTAACCAGAGTGTACAGGTTGACACTATATTTTCCCTACTGTGCAGTTAGTTGTGTTATTTCTAAACCTCAGTTGTTTGAGACGTCTCAAGTAGCCCAAGCTGACCTAGAACCTGCTGTGCCATTAGGACGACCTTGAACTCCTGATTCTCTGCCCCCACCTCTTAAGTGCTGGGATGTTAGTTAAGGCCGCCCTGGCCAGCCTGGTGTGTTTTGTTGTTTGGAATGCAAGTGTAGAAATGTGGATTTGTTTGGAATGTCAGTGGCTCTGGTACTGTGTTGAGACCCAATTAAAATGTAGATTCCTGCTACTATTGTTTCTGTTTCAGTTTGAAATTGGGGACTTTCTCTACAGTTTCAGGCTTGCTTGGAATTTGGGCGGTCCTGTATCAGCTCTTCCCGGTGCTCAGGTTGTGTGAATGACTGTCAGCCAACTAAAATTCTTCTATTTTTTATAGTGATTTTAGATCAGAGCAAATTGAGCAGGAAGTGCAGCTTTTCCATTAGTTTTCCCACCTTCCCCCACTGTCTGTGGCTCATGCTTACAAGTTTGTTAAAGCTAACCCCCCCACCCAAGGCCAGGCAGTGGTGGTGCACGCCTTTAAATCTCAGCACTCAGAAGGCAGAGGCAGGTGGATCTCTGTGAGTTCAGGGCTAGCCTGGTTTATAGAGTGAGTTCCAGGATAGTCAGGACTGTTTAACACAGAAATCTCCAAAAATCAAAACAACAAAAGAACTGAACCTCCTTTGAGCGCATATTCTCAGTTTATACTAGAGTTCACTTTCGGTGTTGGGCATTCTTGGGTTTTTGTAGGTATGTAGTGATGTATCCACCATGTAACGTCATGACACACAGGACTGTTCTTCCCTCTCTAACCATTTTACTGTTCCTGTGCTTTTGGCTTTTCCAGACTTTCTTGTAGTCAAAATGAAATAGCAGTAGTATTTTCAGATTGCTTCTTAAACCCAGCAAGACACACCTAGTGTACTTGTGTGTATTTTCACAGTTTGGGGTCTCGTTTCCTTCTAGAGATGCAGTGTTGTCTGGCTGTACCTCAGCTGATTGCCTCTGCCTCCGGAACATGCCTTTGATTCCCAGCATGGCCGCTTTGAGCAGAGTTGTTCTAAACATCACGATACCTGACTGCAGGTAAACAAACGTTTGGAATTTGTTTGGGCTAAGTACCGAGAATTGTGATTGCTGGATTGTATGTGATACAACTCTGACTGTTTGGGCTTCGGGCAGTTTAGAAAGAAAGGCGTGTAGGGAAGATGGTGAGAGTGCCTTCTCGTTCTGCACAGTTGTTCTGCCTCTCAGCCCTGGCCCCCGCGATGTCACCTTCTAGAGGAAAAGGAAACTTCCGTATTCAAGTCTTGTAACTGGGACTGGAGAGGGCACTGCCAGTCTGTCGATTAGCCCTTGGGGGAGCTAGACCTGCCTCTCCTTGTGTTGGATATTCCCCGATGAAAGTTTTGTAGCCCTAGTCATTCTGTGTGAAGGGATAGGAAAGACAGGGTTGGGGATGTTGGGATGTGGCTCTGGTTCCTTCAACCCTTCTCCCCTTGTGTTTTTATGTTTTTTTTTTTTTTCTGAAATTGTTTCTAGTCTAGGTTTAAGTGTCTGGAGTAATTCCAGCTCCGGGTGTGCTAGCCATTAGTGAATTACACGATGCTGGTGGAAAGGCCTTTGTCAGGTGCACTATGCAGTACAGCGTCTTTAATCAGGGGGTGCAGGGTGATGATGGTATGGTGGCGTGTCTGTCTTTTTTTTTTTTTT